TACCACTAACACCCTCCTGGTCTGCCACTAACACCCTCCTGGTCTACCACCACTAACACCTCCTGGCTCCACCACTACCCTCCTGGCCTACCACTAACACCCTCCTGGTCTACCACTAACACCTCCTGGCCTACCACTACAAACACCCTCCTGGCTACCCACTAACACCCTCCTGGTCTACCACTAACACCCTCCTGGTCTACCACTAACACCCTCTCTGGTCTACCACTAACACCCTCCTGGTCTACCACTAACACCCTCTGGTCTCACCACACACTAACACCCTCCTGGCCTACCACTAACACCCTCCTGGTCTACACTAACACCCTCCCACTAACACCTCCTGGTCTACCCACCCTCCTGGTCTACCACTAACACCCTCCTGGTCTACCACTAACACCCACCTCCTGGTCTACCACTAACACACCCTCTGGTCTACCACTAACCTCCTGGTCTCACACACCCTCCTGGTCTACCACTAACACCCTCTGGTCTACTAACACCTCCTGGTCTACTAACACCCTCCTGGTCTACCACCCACTAACACCTCCTGGTCTACCACTAACACCTCCTGGTCTCCACAAACACCCTCCTGGTCTACCCTAACACCCTCTGGTCTACCACTAACACCCTCTGGTCTACCACTAACACCCTCCTGGTCTACCACACTAACCCTCCTGGTCTACCACTATACCCTCCTGGTCTACCTCACTAACACCCTCCTGGTCTACCACTAACACCCTCCTGGCCCTCACTACACCCTCCTGTCCACCACTAACACCCTCCTGGCCTACCACTAACACCTCCCCAGCTCACCACCTCTGCCCTCCTGGTCTACCACTACACCTCCTGGTCTACCACTACACCCTCCTGTCACCACTAACACACCCTCCTGGTCTACCACTAACACACCTCCTGGTCACCACTAACACCCTCCTGGCACTACCACTAACACCTCCTGGTCTACCACTAACACCCTCCTGGTCTACCACTAACACCCTCCTGGTCTACCACTAACACCTCCTGGTCTACCACCAACACCCTCCTGGTCTACCACTAACACCTCCTGGTCTGCCACTAACACCCTCCCTGGTCCACCACTCAACACCCTCCTGGTCTACCACTAACACCCTCCTGGTCACCACCAACACCCTCCTGGTCTACCACTAACACCCTCCTGTCACACCTTCCCGTCTACCACTAACACCCTCCCGGTCTACCACTAACACCTCCTGGTACCACAACACCCCCTGGTCACCACTAACACCTCCCAGCCTATCACTAACACCCTCCTGGTCTACTAACACCCTCTGGTCTACCACCTAACACCCTCCTGGCTACACCCTCTGTCCACTCACCCTCCTGCTACCACTAACACCCTCCTGGTCTACACCAACACCCGACCCCCTCCACACCCCTGCCACTAACACCCTCCTGGTCTACCCTAACACCCTCCTGCTCTGGCTCCACTAACACCTCACACCCCTGTCCACCACTAACACCCTCCTGGTCTACACCCACTAACACCCTCCTGGTCTCACTAACACCCTCCTGGTCTACCACTAACACCCTCCTGGTCTACCACTAACACCCCCCTGTCCACCACTAACACCCTCCTGGTCTACCACTAACACCCTCCTAGTCCACCACCCTCCTGGTCTACCACTAACACCCTCCTGGTCTACCACTAACACCCTCCTGAGTCTGCCACTAACACCCTCCTGGTACCACTAACACCCCTGGTCCACACCCCTCCGTCTTCACTAACACCCTCCTGGCCTACCACTAACACCCTCCTGGTCTATCACTAACACCCTCCTGGTCTACCACTAACACCCTCCTAGTCTACCATTAACACCCTCCTGGTCTACCACTAACACCCTCCTGGTCTACCACTAACACCCTCCTGTCTTGCATGAGTCATTCCGTGCGTATACATAGTCTCTTCACTATCAAGACTCTTGCTGTGCTTCCTTGTGGCAACACATGGTAACTGAGTGCCTCACGGCCCCAGGCTAGACCAGTAGGGGATCTTGGAGCAGTAATGGGGCCCAGAGGAACGGTATAAGGTCCCACCGCATGTGGACACGCCCGGTGCCTACCAAGCACTGCCCTCTGCCTACCATCCACTGTCCCGCTTCCTTGCGGATTAACCTTGGTAGGTATAAGGCTACAGGAGTAAACCCTGAATGAAAAAACCTGCAGTGGAGTCTCGCATCAGGTAGGCATGCTTACAGAGTTCCAGCAAGACCCCGACGGCGGAATAGGTGGAAGAAGTGACCAACACGTGAAACCAATGATCACGCCGGCGGATGAAGGCAATTCAAGATGTTAAAGGCTATTAAAGCGAAACCCAACACTTTAATGATTAATTTCTCAATGTTGGTAAAAATCTTGCAGAGGGCATCCCTGATCACCAAGAGGAATTTAGAGCCTCCCTGCAACCAGACAGCAAAATGAGTTGTTCTTATCCTCTGTCACGGCAGATAAATTATTATTGACCATCATAAAAATGTCCAAAGATGCAGCAGCAGGCGACGACAATATACCAATGAGTATCGTCAGTAAAGTAACCCACCTATTATTACCTATTCTCTTACACATTTGTAACTCCTCCTTCACTAGTGGCATCTGTATGGAAAAACTGAAAATTGCTAAAGTTCGTCCAGCATATAAAAATATAGGTGATAAACGTTTCTTCAAGAATTTTTGCCCCCATATCAGTCGTCCCATCCTTAAGTATAATACTGGAGAAGTTAGCATGTAGTAGACTAAATTCCGTCCGCAGTGTCAATAACATCCTTACAGATTCTCAGTTTAGATTTAGAGGTAGAAGGTCAACTGCTGTCGTTTACTAATGACATTTTGAACACAGTCGGAATATTTCTGGAACTCTATAAAGCCTTTCATACTGTTGACCAAACTATTCTCCTGTCAAAGCTTGAACATTATGGCATCAGGGGCCAATCTTACATTTGATTTACCTCATATGTGTCTAACAGGAATCGTTATGTCTGCTATAATAATCATCAATCTGATTACTCACCAATGTTGTATGGCGTCCCTCAAGGCTCCATTCTCAGCCCAGTACTGTTCCTGTTGTACGTAAATGATATATTCCACTCCAGCACACTCGTAGAATACAACTTATTTGCAGACGATAGTAATCTCTATGCCAGTCACTCAGAAATAAGAAATAGGAACAGTGAGCTAACTAAACCCAGGACTGACCTTAAACCTTGGTAAAACCCGCTACACAATTTTTCACAGAAGGAAAAAATTACCCACAGATTTGGACCTCCTGTACCTTGGTAGCACAGTCCTCAAATGTGAACAAAATACTAACTTCCTTGAGGTTGTTGTCGATGATAAACTAAACTGGAGAAACCACATACAGTCAATCACAGTAAAGTCAATAAACAGTGCGGTATCCTGTATCACACTCATCAGTCACTCACTCTCACAGCAAAGAAAGAAATTTATTATGATCTTGTTTACCAACACTTGATTCACTGTCACACATTATGGGGGCCCCTGCTCCACTAAAAGACAACCCTTGGTCATTGCCTAGAAGAGAGTTGTGCGTACGATGACCTACTTGAAAAAACTGATCGCACTGAAGAACAATTCGCTAAATTGAAAATGTTAAAATTCGAGAATATTAACACCTATTTGTTTATAAATCATTTGATCACTTGTTGAGAATAATTAGTTCCAATTTTGAATTAACCAGAGGAACAACTTAAGACACTCTGAACTATTGAGACCATGCGTCCCTCTCAGTCCCAGACCTCCATCAAATATGGAACAACTTACCCCCACACATCCCAGCAAAGACTACGCCCCCTTCCTTAGGTTTAGATAATCGCTTAAAAAATATCGATTGTCCAAATACTAATATTTTTATGACACCTACTTCACCACCAAAACCATTATTCATGTATTGTCACACAGACAGATATTACCATTGCAATAATTATATATTTGCCATCAAGCCATTATCCTGACTGTGAGTGTTCCCTTGTTTCGCCCTGACACAAGCCATGTTGTATTGCTTCCCTCACTTATCATATTACTGTATATCAACTCGACTGTAAAACGTGTACATAACTTAACATAAATGTAAAACAAAATAATAAAAGTAATAATCGTGATAACATTCTCATATATATTTACTAACACCATGTTACGTGTGTTGATCCAGATGGTACTAAATGCTATGCATTAATTCCTCGAGATAAATGTACAGTATAGACCAGGTGCCACGAAGAGATCACAGGCTTTCAAATGACTCAGCCATGTCAATATTGTTATTATTGTCCACTTTGTATCTGTTTTTTTCTGTCCAAATAAACTGTTTCAATATCAATGCCAAACTCATTACTGGGACGTGATCTGACCCAGAATCTGCCCCTGGACATGTTATTGAACTGAATTTCTGAATCTTTCCTGAATTCAAATGTAATCTATTTGATTCCTGTTTTTTTTTACAGTGATCCAGGGGTGAGATGTCCAGGGTGTTGGTTAAACCATGTACAGTATTTGCAATTATAATTTTTTTCCCTTGCAAAAGTCAATTATTATTTATCCTCTTTCATTTCCATTACCCAATCCATGTGGTCCTACTTCTGGTGCTACTTTCCTTTTCCCAACGTTTGCATTCAAATCATCCATTATAATCAAACATTCGTTAAACTTTACAGTGTCTTGCTTTCTTTAAATCCTCATAAAACTTTTCTAAGATTTCATCCTCACCATCATTTATTGGTGCATAAAACTGTATTATTATCAAGTTCATGCGTATACCATTAAACTTGACTAACAAAACTTTACCTGACACTGCCCAATTACCTACTGACAGAAATACCTACTTACTTACACAGATTTATTTATTCAGTAACATAGTTTATTTACTTTTATACTTATATTCGTGTTAAATATAGACATTATCTCTTTTTCTCTCATTTATACAGTATATATGCATTTAGAGACATACTTACAGTTCTGTTCCCTATCTTGTTGACGCGACAGTTGAGCTTGGCAGGTTGGTCGACCAGCGCAGTGATGTTGGCTGAGCGCTCCACATCATAGAACGGTCCGGGAGGAAGCACGTCTACGAAAGGCGGCAGTGAGTTGTGTTGATGTTGATATGTGCTTCCTGCCTCCTCGTCCAAGATGGCGCCCAACCCTGCCAGAGACTCATTTGTTAATCTGCACCAGCCTACTGCAGTACAGGCACAAATGTCGCGTATCACATAGTACAACGCCATCGGTTTAATACCATTCTCCACTGTTATGAGGGCGGTAGAGCTGTAGTCTACCACTAATACTCTACCACACTGTACCATTATGACGGGGATACATACGTCTCAGTCTCAAAGTTGTTGTAGTTATCATTCTCATAGTTGATGTTGTAGGTATCAGTCTTATAGTTATTGTCATAGTTATCAGTCTCATAGGTGTTGTTGTTGCTGTAGTCTCATAATTGTTGCTGTTTTAGTCATCAGTCTCATAATTGTTGCTGTTTTAGTCATCAGTCTCATAATTGTTGCTGTTTTAGTCATCAGTCTCATAATTGTTGCTGTTTTAGTCATCAGTCTTATAATTGTTGCTGTTTTAGTCATCAGTCTCATAATTGTTGCTGTTTTAGTCACCAGTCTCATAATTGTTGCTGTTTTAGTCATCAGTCTCATAATTGTTGCTGTTTTAGTCATCAGTCTCATAATTGTTGCTGTTTTAGTCATCAGTCTCATAATTGTTGCTGTTTTAGTCATCAGTCTTATAATTGTTGCTGTTTTAGTCATCAGTCTCATAATTGTTGCTGTTTTAGTCATCAGTCTTATAATTGTTGCTGTTTTAGTCATCAGTCTCATAATTGCTGCTTTAGTCATCAGTCCAAGCAATTGTTGCTGTTTTAGTTATCAGTCTTATATTGCTATGTTTTAGCCAATATCCCCATAATTGTTGCTGTTTTAGTCATCAGTCTCATAATTGTTGCTGTTTTAGCCATCAGTCTCTTAATTGTTGCTGTTTTTAGTCACCAGTCTCATAATTGTTGCTGTTTTAGTCATCAGTCTCATAATTGTTGCTGTTTTAGTCATCAGTCTCATAATTGTTGCTGTTTTAGTCATCAGTCTCATAATTGTTGCTGTTTTAGTCATCAGTCTCATAATTGTTGCTGTTTTAGTCATCAGTCTCATAATTGTTGCTGTTTTAGTCATCAGTCTCATAATTGTTGCTGTTTTAGTCATCAGTCTCATAATTGTTGCTGTTTTAGTCATCAGTCTTATAATTGTTGCTGTTTTAGTCATCAGTCTCATAATTGTTGCTGTTTTAGTCATCAGTCTCATAATTGTTGCTGTTTTAGTCATCAGTCTCATAATTGTTGCTGTTTTAGTCATCAGTCTCATACTTGTTGCTGTTTTAGTCATCAGTCTCATAATTGTTGCTGTTTTAGTCATCAGTCTTATAATTGTTGCTGTTTTAGTCATCAGTCTCATAATTGTTGCTGTTTTAGTCATCAGTCTTATAATTGTTGCTGTTTTAGTCATCAGTCTCATACTTGTTGCTGTTTTAGTCATCAGTCTCATAATTGTTGCTGTTTTAGTCATCAGTCTCATACTTGTTGCTGTTTTAGTCATCAGTCTCATAATTGTTGCTGTTTTTAGTCATAATTGTTGCCGTTGGCCATCAGTCTTATAATTGTTGCTGTTTTAGTCATCAGTCTCATACTTGTTGTGCTGTTTTAGTCATCAGTCTTTATAATTGTTGCTGTTTTAGTCATCAGTCTCATAATTGTTGCTGTTTTAGTCATCAGTCTTATAATTGTTGCTGTTTTAGTCATCAGTCTCATACTTGTTGCTGTTTTAGTCATCAGTCTCATAATTGTTGCTGTTTTAGTCATCAGTCTTATAATTGTTGCTGTTTTAGTCATCAGTCTCATACTTGTTGCTGTTTTAGTCATCAGTCTCATAATTGTTGCTGTTTTAGTTATCAGTCTCACAGTTGTTATTGTAATGCGTCATAGTTAAGGGCTTAAATGAAGTTTTGGGTTACTGGACCTTCGTGTGCATCTCCGAGGTACAGTACATGCATGACTGTATGAGGGAGGTGTTTTATACATGACTGTATGAGGGAGGTGTTTTATACATGACTGTATGAGGGAGATGTTTTATACATGGCTGTGTGAGGGAGGTGTTACGTACATGACTGTGTGAGAGATGTGTTACGTAAGTCAACAGCAGTAGTTCGTCTCTACCCACCTGCATGTTATGAGGCAGGTGATCTGGAAACACTGTGTGGTGACGAGTGACATTAAGCTTTAAATTACTAGTTATTTAAGATTTATTATGATCGGAGATTAACTACGTATAAATATCTTGTATATAATTTAAATAGTATCAATGTGTAAAATGGAGTAAAATAATGTTATTGAGTTATGACCCCTCCTTTCACCGCGTCCACCGCTGGTTACCAGAGGCCAGGTCGTATGTCATAAGTAGTCACACAAGTGTCGTCGAATTACCACTGGCTGTCCCTTCAGTCTCCGGTAATTTCTCGACGATCGGTATCAGCGAACAGACAAACAACAGGTAGGTAGATTTCCACCAGGTCACAGAAAAACACTTGTGCGCTGTACTCTGCTTTAATAACACTTGGAATATATAGTCAACACACTACCAGTGTACAATTCCTAAGTCTTTTCACTTTTATATTGCTCATAGCAATTCCACAATACTGTATTTGCACAACAATTATCTTCAGTTGTCGTACTAGGCTTTTGTACGTTTGACCGGGTCAGCCGTAGCTTGTATATCTCATCATCAGACGACCCCAGAACAATCTAGCACAACCCAGAGACACCTGGGAGGTTCTAGAATGTTCTACTCTGATCGAAGCTTACCATAAGAATTAAAAAAAAATATGTCATACATTCTAGAATATTCTTACATAAGTAATACATCAATATATACACGAAAATCTAACTGAACTTGCTAAAATAACTGCTGCTTGGGGAAGAAAATACTGTAGTCAAAACACTTAGTTAACAAACACTATAATACCAAATTATGCCTCGGCTTAACAATATCATTAACCACGAAAAACACTCGTTAGCATAAGAACATAAGAACATAAGAAAATAAGGAGTCTGCAATAGGCCGGTTGGCCTGTGCATGGCAGCTCCTGTCGAGAGTTACTACCACTCTCTATCATCCATGAATCTATCTAGCCTCCTTTTGAAACTTTCCAGAGTTCCCGCACTTACTACAAAGTTGCTAAGCTTGTTCCACTCGTCCACCACCCTATTTGTGAACCAGTTTCTTCCTATCTCCCTCCTAAACCTAAACTTATCCAACTTGAATCCGTTGCTCCGAGTCCTATCCTGCTCGGATATTATAAGAACTTTATCGATATCCCCTTTATTGATTCCTTTCACGCACTTAAATACTTCTGTCATATCTCCCCGCACTCTTCGTCTTTCTAGGGAATGCAAGTTAAGTTTCTTTAACCTATCCTGATATGGAAGGTTTCTAAGTCCCGGAATCATTTTTGTCATTCTTCGCTGCACCGACTCTAGTGAATTTATATCCATTCTATAATAAGGGCAACAGAACTGAACCGCATAACCGAGGTGCGGCAATATGGATACCTTTTGTTCCCCAGTTATGTCATATATTTCTTAATAACATTATACACATTGATACTATTTAAATTATATACAATAAATGTATTCTTAGATAATCTCCGATCATAAATCTTACATTACTAGTAATTTAAAGCACATCTGGAAACTCTTTCCCATACAGTGTAACCAGATCACCTGCCTCATATTGAGTAGGGGCGAATATCTGCTGTTTACTGTACTCATTATGTAAGAGCAATTGTTACGTACTGTACAGTCCCCCGAAAAGCATCGTTAGTCATAGGGTAGTCGTGATTCGAGGTTTTCTGAACAGTTGGTAGTTCTCCATCCGTGACCTTAGAGTATGAATGAATATATATACATTTTCGAACGATACATATTGTTATGACCCTCCTTTTCACCGCTTAGCCAGCGTCCACCGCTGGTAACCAGCGGTCAGGTCGTATATACAGAAGCAGTAGATACAGTGTATCACAAGTGTCATCGAATTACCGCTGGCTCTCACACCAGCGTCCGGTAATTTCCCGATGATCTGTATCAGTGTACAGACAAACAACTGGTAGGTAAATTTCCACCAGATCACAGAAACACACTTATGCACTCAAGTCTTCTTTAATAATCGCCAATTCTTTAAAAGACGGTTCACAGGGTCCGTCTTCACAACTGGGCTTCACACTTCGAAAATATACAATCAGCACACTACCAGTGTACAATTCCTTAGTCTTTTCACTCTATATTGATCATAACAATTCCACAATACTTGAACACCAATTATCTTCAGATGCAGGACGTACTGACAGGCTATATTGCCAAGGTGCTCACAAGTGGCACGACAGTGGCCATGAGTTCTCTTTGATTGTTGGGTGTGCACGTTCGAAATGCTTCAATCACTCTCATCAGACAGGGGGCCTCATTTTACGTCTGAGATGTTCCAAGCTGTATGTCTGATGGCAGGTGTTCATGAGACACTTGAAGCGCCCTATCATCCCCGTAGCCAGGCCCAGGTGGAGAGACAAAATCAGTTAATGGACAACCTGCGGCGTCTATGTTATATTAACATTGATTTGTGGCCGGAGATGGTGCTACATCTGCAATTTAGTCACAATACGACAGGGTGCACTCCCCAGGTGGTGTTGGGAAAAAAATACATGATGACCCTGACTTCCGTCCACCAGACCTGAGTAATGCGGAGGTAGCTGGACGTTTGTCACGAGAAAAGTTGGGAAGGATCGAGAAACGCTACGTTCAGCAAAAGAGAAAGTAGCCGTGGCGCAGGAAAGGAGAAACAAGAAGCATTGCAGTCAACATCTGAATAGCAGAGGGTAGGACAGAAGAAGATGGCCTTCTATCAGTCACACCGCCACCGCATCATCAAGGTACTGAGAGAAGGATGATGGTCGTACCATCATATTCCCGAAAGTGACTTAACTGGGCAAGTCAAAGTGCGTTACTTTGATGAGCTGGAGAATGCAATTGTAAGACCGTACTCCTGGGAGAATCCCACCTCCGAGCAATTGTCTGATCCTGTGAATTCAGACGAAAAT